TGTGTGTGTGTGTGTGTGTGCGTTAGCGGTTGCTGCTACTCACCAGGTCTCCATTAACAAGAAACACAGAGAGATCCACCAGGACCCAGGTGGGCAGCATGAAGATGACCGCATTAAAGCCCAGGATGTTGAGAAGCCTCAAGTGATGGATCCTTGTGTCTCTCAACACCTTTAAATAGTGAAGAAAAGAGTCACAACTGTGTTAGCCAAGAGGATAGTGATGTAGAGTTTCAGGTCTTTCCCTGTTTAGATGCTTTCTGTTGTCCACTTCACAAAGTTTTAAAGATAGCACAGAACTCGGCTCTGCTCACAGAAATTATGATTATTATAAGTTTAGTGGGATCTTAAACCGGAGCACCTTTATCCTTTTTTTATCCAACCTTGATGATTGTGTTAAAAACCGATGTGCTGGTTTTGTGATCACTTTGTTGTAGAGTCGTAATGACACTAAAAGCCGGTTTTGTACCAAATTACAAGAGAGACCCAAAAAAAATATATCTCTCTTCTATAATAATATAATTGTGGGTATGATTTGTATTTTAAAAAAAAGTCAGAGATGGAAATAATTAAATGTTTTGCTCCATGTTTTGTTATTTTGACTTTGATGTTATCCAGAGGACATGTTTGATCATTGAGTTTTAAACGTCATAGGGAAAGATTTGTGCAAGGGTTGGTGAAATGCATTAAGCATCTTGTGGTGGGAGACGGTAGCAGTGAGTACCTAAACTCAGCATTTAGAGGCTAGATTCTCTCTTCAGCCCTCCCTTATGCATTATTAGAGTAGCATTATATTAAAGCAGCTATTAAAGCTATATTATTAGCTTGTAATATTGATACTGCAGTAAAACTTTAGAAATGTTTAAAGATATCTAAAATTGGACTTTAACTGACTATGTTAAGGTTTTCTCTAACTGTAACATTAATTTGGCCACAGCCCGTAAATAACTAGCTCCAAGTCAGTTTCTCTTGATTGACATGGGAACCGAAATTCTTTGTTCTGTTTCACATCTTTTGGTCGTACATCGCAACTTATCGTACAAACAGTCGAGTTTAAGCAAAACATACACCCAGATTCACGTAGGCGATCTGAGTGAGGGGTTAAAATACCTTTAAGATTTTGCAGGATAACAGATTATTTCCAGGATATTTGGTCATTTTACGGAGTCCTTTGTTATTAAAGTAAGTGGCCACTTGTGAAATCCAGTTGTCCCTTCCTGATTTACTCAACACAAAACCACTTCTCTTGTCCGACGGCTCTTCTTTATAAAAACAAACCACAACCAGGACGTCCGTTTGAGGCGCTTCACACCAAACCACCAAGAAGTAACATTTTCTAATCGTTTGGCACAGACTAACGTGAGAACGAGTTACCTTTTTGGAGAAGATGTTCTGCAGAGAGAAGCAGAGCGTGGCAGCCAGAGCGCTGATTAGTCCCGAGACATCAAAGGACAGCTCAGTCGCTGTGGCCAGCAGCACTCCGCCAATGATGGGGATGAGTGATACGTACACCTGCAACAGAGACAGGAGGCAGAGTCAGCAGGAGGCAGTACGAGTTTGGATCCAGTTAGCTGCTTCAGGAGTGTTTACGAATATAATGAGGCCAGATCAGACTTTAAGAAACTGTAATTTCTCCTGTTGTTTAACGTCTTATAGACCAAACAATCAGAAATAAACTAATCGATCAGTTTAAATCGATAATGAAGGGCTGCAGCTAATGCTTATTTTCATTACTGATTCATCTGTCTGACGTCTTCTCAATCAGTTTTTCAAAGCCCAAGGTGATGTTTCAAAGTCCACAACCATAGTGGGAATGATCATTTATGTGTCGCATTTCTCCTTTTAATGGAAAGAAAAACTATTAAAATCATGATGATGTGACATTTGTTGTTTGGTCTGTGCTAAACAAACATGATTTCTTTTATCTAGAGAACAATATTTGTAGGCCAGGTCATCACTAAAGTACTTCATCTTAATGCAGTTTTGTCACATTTTACCTTTTAAACCAAAAATTATGCGATTTCGATAATATTTAAATGAATTGTGCAGCGCTAGAAAATATAAAGTTACATTTCCAACATTCCTCTAAGCCTAAAATCCAAAGCACTGACACATTTTAAGAAAAGTGGAACCCCAAGAAGAGAGAAAGCTTTTCACAAAACTTGCTCAGTTTACTTTGCAAAACTACACACGGCACAGCAGGAACGCTACCAATCTATCTAAACACTCGTTAAGATGATGAAACACCTGCGAGCACAACTTTAGAGGCTGCAGCTGGACACACTAACCCTTCTATCTTTGACCACACCACTGGGGACAAACCCCTCACGGGCTGAAACTATCACATCATCTACAGCGACATTTATTTGCATGTTGAAGATTTAAGATCATGAGAAGTGATGAGAAACCTGCAGTTGTTATGAAACCCACTTGTGGACCCACCCACTCACTCACTCACCCACTCAGAGTGAAAGCGCGCAGGGTACTTGTTGGCTGATTTTGTTCATTTATTACCATCAAACGGTTTGATTGTCCAAGTAAGTAAGCTGTCTCTTACATGCAAAAATTATAGAAACATGAGCAATGGTCCAACTACGAGGACCTCAGTAGTAATAAAAAGGGCAGCAGGTGGAGATGGCTGTAAAAGAAACACATAAAACAGGTTGGAGACTTTTATGTGAGCAGCTCTGGGCAACAACCTGAACAACACGAGCAGGATTAAAACTAAATTATCTCCTGAAAACACACTGAACATGTCGATATCCAAATGAGTACTAACCCATCTACTTGTACTTTTAGCACGAGGGCCGTGTTGTGAAGTGTCTGTTTCTTTTTTGTAAAAATAAAAAGTGTCCTCTTCTATTTGGGCCTAGATTTCTGTCCCATTTCAGCTGCCCCGACTTATTTTAAAAGTTCATCCTGAAGGCTTTCCACACTATGTGCTTTATTAGGTACACCTGTACAGTCTAATGCAATCCAATACAACTATTCTGCTATAAAGTCTACTTTTATGATGCCTACAATGTTCAGTTTTATTCACACTGACAGCTGTGTTCATTAAATTAAGTGTTTTAGCATTGAGGTCATAGTTAGCGGTGGTGTTGTATTAGACTTTATTATACTGAGATAATAATAAATAGAAGGACAAAACGTTAGGAACACCTCAACAGGACATTTAATGTATTCATTTCTTCCATTATGAACTTTGTAAAGGTGGATGTTAAGGTAGGGTTGTTTTATTTGCATTACATTGCACAAGTGCACCCACTAAAGCATCCAGAGTATATTTTGTTCAGTTTATGAACTGTAACTGGTTTTAACTAAACTGAGTACCTATTCAGTCTATCAGTTGTTTTAATGTGTTTCATACAACGTCAGCTTTCTCAGTAGAGTACAGTGAGGCCTGCTGCTCCTCAAACACACACACAGTAACACGTCATCAACACTTACGTTCCCCGTCTGTGAACGCAGCCTGAATACTGAACTGTCGACCGTAAGGTAAACACGACACGCTGATGTTAGACTAAGAGCTCTGCTTATTCACATTCAGCAGACTGTAAAGTGTTTTCCCATCAGGGTGGAAAATTAGGATGACTTCCAGAGATGATGGAGGTTTCTTTCATTGATATTTTTAACTTCATACAGCTGCACACTACTAAGACAGAACTACATTATAAAGATGATTACAGTCAGTGATCTACATCGTGGTTTCCCTTTAACTGCGGCCTATAATACAGTATTTTTACAGAGCTCTATGCTTTTTTGGAAAATATCTGTGGTATATATGTGTCAAGCGTAATTAATTTAGTATTTCAGTTCAGCTACCAGTGAACGCTGGGACCACAACAACCAGTATGGGATCATTAGAACTGGGAATTGATAAGACTTTATTGACACCAGTGCCATTATCGATTCTGCTTATCCGTCTAATACTTTGTTGATTCCTGATCAGTTTTCTGTGTGAAAAAAAGTCGGTCTACACAGGTTTTCAGCATCAATACAACCGTGTTATTATCACAAACAAATCTATAAATACGTACA